ACTCACGCAGCGCGCGGCGGTAGAGCTGTTCCCCCGCCAGCTCCCGCTTCGGGTTGGCGCTGAGGAGCCGGAAAGGGTCCTGGTCCCCGGCTTCCCGCAGCTGTCAAGGAAAATGGATCCGCTGGAAAAAGTTCAAGGGGTGGGAAACGGGAGCAGGGGCGGCGCACCCTCTCTGCCTAACAGCAAAAAGAATAAAGTGCTGGGACTCTGCCCATCAGACCAGGGTACCCTCAGGGGCCAGAGCGGAGGAGGAAGAGGCCGGGAGGCCCTGGGGGGACCGGCGCACAAGACGGGGAAGAGAGCTGTGCCAACGCGGGCAGCAGCCCGGCGCTCACGCCGGAGCACTCACCTCCAGGTATCGGCTCTCCCCTCTTAGAGCCACCAGGAAGATCAGGATGAAGCGACACTGAAGTCTGAAGGAAGGAGACATGCTGGCCTCGCAGCTGCCGCGGGTGCGCTCTGCGCCAAGGGCTCCGCTTTGCTCGCACACCCTGCCGGGGCAGAGGGCTGGCAGCCGGCAGGGTCCCTTGGCTGGGTCTCTTTTACAGAGCAGTGAGGAGGGAAGGCTGTCTGCTCCTTAACTGCTCGGAGCTCAGTAACCATGGGTTACCCTGTCTCAGTGACAGCGCGTGGTGATGACGAGGGTCCAGCTCTCCTCCCAGATGTTCAGAGTGGTCTAGCATTATTCAGCAAGAACGACTGCAGACTCTTACAACTTACCAAACCAAAGTGTGGGAGAAACAACGAGACGGGGAAAGGGAATAAGGGGGGAGCATTTTACTTGGCCTGGCCAATGCTGAATTACCCTCTCCTGCGGATATTCAGGGGATTTGGGGTTTTGCAAAGCAAAGTGACAAGGTTACACTCATGCATAAAATACCCAAACACATCATAACCTTAACGTGCAGCCTTGTCACATAATCTTGGATGGACGCATGCTGGAAATTGTCAAAAAACATAATATTTATGCAATTGCTCATGCCTCTCAGGAAGAAGCTTACAGCGTTTTCAGGTCCAAAGGGAAGCTGAACAGAAGCCAAAATCTGATTTTGCAGAATGTTGCAATAATGTAATTCAAGCTTTCTTTCTGTTCCTTAGTCTGCTTTACCCTGGTCCAGTTTCTTGTAAGCACTTATTTAATGGAAAGCTAACTCTGGCATCTATGTACTTCTGGATTTAACTCAGCTCTGTTGGAATGACCTATATGTTCACTTCTACTCTCTGCACACACTTCAGTTTCTCTCCATATTTTTGAGACAACCTCACCAATGCTGATTTAATACAGTCCCTGATCAGTGTATATTTAGGTCTTAAACTATTGTTAGACAGGGTTAAGACACCCTTTTTGTTAGATAAGATGAAGACATTTCTTCTTTCACAAAGCCCCAGTGCAAATTGTCACCTGTGTTAAACCTGAAGGTGGAGGTGGCCACACAATATGGATCCATACACAATCCACGAACATGGGAGGTGGCAGATTTTTATTTATTTTTAAATATATCTTTATTGATTTCAGAGAGAGGAAAGGAAAGGGAGAGAGAGATAGAAACATCAATGATGAGAGAGTCATTGATCGAGCCCACAACCCAGGCATGTGCCCTGACCGGGTATTGAACCCCGATCACCTGGATCCTAGGTCCATGCTCAACCACTGAGCTGCGCCGGCCGGGCCAGATTTTTAAATTGTGCTGGGAGTGAAGAGGCACAGAGAACTTCTGTAGCACACAGAAGGACTTGATGGTTACCCACGTGNATTGAACCCCGATCACCTGGATCCTAGGTCCATGCTCAACCACTGAGCTGCGCCGGCCGGGCCAGATTTTTAAATTGTGCTGGGAGTGAAGAGGCACAGAGAACTTCTGTAGCACACAGAAGGACTTGATGGTTACCCACGTGACCTATGAGGAGACTGTAACAGCCAAGTGTCAGCTTATGGACTGAGGTATCAGAAGCAGCAACGAGACCTACATAATTCCAAATCTCTATTTTAGTGTTGGTGCCAAGACCCCCTCAAGTATTCCCTATCTGTAATAGTAAACTTTTCCTTTCATAAGTCATTTCAACAGAGAACGCCACCAACCCATACTTTAGAAAACCTTCCTTTTCCCTTTCCTGCCTGATACATTGAAATGTTGAGAAGTGGAACATCTGATTGAGTTCTATAAAAAAGAAATGAAGATGACTGAATAAAACTCATTATAGTTAGTGAACAATGACAACTAATTTTCAGTTGTTTTCAATATGACTTGCTCTTTGAATGAATTTGTCTATTTTTAATGATATAATTTTTAATAGATATAATTTGTTTTTCACATGAGTTTGATATCAAGAAGGAAGAAACTAAACAAATACACTTGGGAAACCAATATAAATCACCCTTTGAATTAAACCCTCAGGTGTCAGTGGTTTTCAACCCAAGTCCATTATCATCTTTGCTATGGTTAAGATGACCTGCAGTGCTAAACATTAGGACTCTGGGGGTGGCAAGTGACTGATAGCAAATTTGAACTTAAGCAAAAAGGGGAATTATTATCAGGACACAGGGACGTCTTCAGGAATACATGGGCAGAAAACGGGAAGCAGGGGCTCGAATCCTACATCCCAGTCTGTCTCAGGCTGCCTTCACCCCCCATCTGTAGTCTCTATGGCTATAAATCAGCCACCAGCAATTCCTAAGCTTTACATGTTATCACGTGATAAATAAAAATACCCTGAACCAATGTTCTCATAATCCCCAGTCCACAAAGCTTTGTGAGAAAAGGCTCCAAGGCCAGGGGATTGGATCCTCTCATAACACAACTATTCCCATGACAGCCATGTGGATGGAGAAAAGAGAAGCAATTTCCAGAAAAAGGGGTATTGGGCTTACAAAATAATGGGTATCTTCAAAAGAGTGGAAAGGAAACAAAAACAAAAGCCCTGATTTAGTGACCTCCTTCATCATAAGTTTTTTTACCTGTAAAATTATTTTTCTCAGCGGGAATTATTGTAGGAATTAAATATTATATATGTCCTACAGAGGATAGCCCTAAATGGTAGCTCTTATTAAATTATACCAATCATAGTATGTCTTTATTACTAGGGCTTTCTTTCTAATGAGGATTTTATAAGAGTGCATGCATAGCATATGTTTTTCATTTTATAAATAAAATTAATGGCTTCCTATTAGAGCATTAACAGACTTTAAAAGCCATAGTTAGAAAAAGAGAGAACTAAGTTAAAATATAATTACAGAACTTCTTTTCAAAGGGCTAGCTAGGAATGGGTCCATGAAAGATTATGTGCCTTAATGGATAGTGGCTTAGCTGCATCAGAGAGAAAAGTGGAATAGAGAGCAGTGGAACTGAGGAGATTGAGGGAAGGGGAAAGTTGAAGTTATAAGGCAGAAACAGAAGATAATTAGGAACGGCCCAAAGAGAATAGCATTTTGATTCTATATCAAGAACTATTGAATGACATCATCTGTTAAGATGTGGGGACCCTGGGAATAAGAAGACAATGATTTGACAAGAAGGCTTCCAAGCAAACAGTGATGATGGGCGGAAAGAAGAGAGATTAAAAGATCTGCCCAGATTATCACAATGAGTCAGAAACAAAGTCTAGACTAAAAAGATCCCTCTATATCCATCTGGGTAACCAATCCTTCTTCAAAGACAAGAGCCCTGGACATTAATCCAAAAAAATATATATTTTAGGTTTTAAAAATTACCAAACAAGGAGCAAAAATTGAGGTGGTGCTGGCTGAAGCAGGATGTATCAATAACTGCAAAGGAACCTGGGAGTTGTTTGTGTTTGTTCAATGGCTCCCTTGACTTTGGAGTGACATTGTTATCTCAACTCCCTTCAGGATTACTCTAAAATATGCCATGACTAACATCTAGCCAGTAGGTCATAATGAAATGCCATTTAATAGTCCCTTACTGCCTTCATCAAGGGGAAAAGTACAGCTGGGGCAGAGCCAATGGTGTGTTTGTCATTGGGTCTTGGTGCCGCGTATCGGGCATCAGAATGAAACATCAGCCTCTCCTCTGACGGAAGAGAAACGAAGTGTGAAGAGTCTCATTTCTTAGTGTCTTAGAATAGATTTAAAGGAGAAAAGCCTGCAGGTTATGGGAGGGACACGAGAAGCTCTAAATAAGGAGCGCAATAGGGAAAACTGCAGGCTAGGCAGTGGTTAGCTGTCTGTGGTGCCTTCTTAGCTCACTTTTGTGGGACCCCTGCGGGTGGCCAGCATGCTTCCCCCTCTGACAATCTTCCTTCCTTCTTTCCTCCCCCCTTCCTTCCTTCCTTCCTTCCTTCCTTCCTTCCTTCCTT